AACTCTTCTATTTTCACATCCCCTTATCCCCTTACATAGATGAAAAAATGAGATGAGGCAGAAGAAAAAATGTCTCATTTCTTGTTAATCTTCACGTGAAAAAATAGGTTTCTCTCCAATATTTTCCCATCACTTTGATCTGAAATAAATCAAACACTTGATATAAATAATCATGGAAATTCCTTTCTTTGGTGCATCACAAACAATCACTGTAAGCCAGGTATGAAAGCAAAGTAGCAGCATTATCTAAAACATCTTTAATATCCAAACCAGTAGTACAAGAGAAGCGCACGATCACGTCTAATTCTTGGTTCCTAACCAGAGACATTGCGTTGAACATCCAAGCCATGGTGGCAGCTTGTGAAACACATATTCGTCTAATAATACAATGCTTGTTAAAGAGCAGGGATTTCATTCATGGAAACTTCACCATTCAGTCGTTGCTAGAACATACTAAACTGTAGAAAAAAAATTCGCCGAAGTCTCATTGACGCACAAACAGTTCCTATGCCGCGTTGGATATACCTTCATAGGAAGAGGATGAGTATAAAACTACACTATTCATCATCACAGTCCCTTTATCCTTCCCTAAACAGTCCTAGCACCAGGCTAAGAAGGGCAGATTAGTGTGAATATTAAGCTTCGACGTAACCTTAAATACAAAAATGCTCAGATTCTATTTCCTCTCACAAAGGGCAAAGAGCAAATTTATCTCAAGGGTGGCAGCACAAAATCCTATTACATAGCCTAACAAAGAGAGGAAATATGATACCAAATGTTATCAAGAAAATAGTGAGTTTGCAGTGACATTCGCGTGAGTTTGGAAGAACTGAGTAAAAAAAAAAGGTAATTCGTATATATGTATACTGATAATATGTGCATTATTGTGAGTATAAAATATATCGCAGTGGGGGATATATTAGTCACATAAGCAAATCTAGAATGCCCTGCTGATGAGGACCAAGTGCGCTTTTACAAATGTCATTGTTAACCAAGGCATTGACCTAAGAAAGGAAGGGATCAGGTCAAGAACAGCTAATGTTTGAACCTAAAATCTCATTTATTTATCTCTTCACTAATGTACCTTGACCTAAACTCTTACCGTGTCTTCAGGTTTGCCAAACAAATCTTTCTCTCTTTCATAAGATTATAGAAAATTAAACAAAATACAAAATTAAACAAAGTACAAAAATGCATAAATAATATGATACAAAAATATTACATAAGACAATACAAAACAACCCCCTTATTTATACAAAAAGAAGTTGATATGTAAAAATAAGTCAGAATCTACTGTACAATTGAACTGCTTAGTTCGTAAGTCTACCTGGCAATGTGCACAGTATAAAACTCTAACTATAAGCCTCTATAAACACACCTAACCTAAAATTCATGAAATCGAAGAATTGACGGAAAAAATTATGACTTTTCAAGATGAGATATTGGTGCGGTCTTATCCGAGTTGAGAAAGTCGTTTAAGAACAGTAAAATATGCCCGATTTATAAATGATCTAGAAGTATAATTAATTTCAGAAACTACAAATACTTTTATGACTTATAGATATGATTTTTTGTTCAGCATGAGTGCTTTTTCTCGTGTATTCCATATTCGTCTGACTAAAGACAGGAATATTATGAAGAAAAAAAAAGTTAAAAGAAAAAAATATGTGCCAAATTCTAAGCTAATTTACAAAGCCTTTGGTAACGAGACAAGCTCGTTCTCTTGGCTCTCTGTTCCCGACCAGCCGCATCTGTGTGTTTATGTAAGCTATTTACAAAAAAAGTAAGTCTTCGTTTCAGTAAGAACATATCACAAGTCAGCGAAAAAAAGGCTAAATTAAGATCTCTAACGGAACAATGTTTTTTTAAAATATCAAACGTTAGGATGTCATTATGTCGTTAAAGAATGACACCACTCTTTATGTATAATCTACAGAACCGAAGGCTTTTACTATTTTCGAATTATCATAATATATACATGCATACAAACATATATATATATATATATATATATATATATATATATATATATATATATATATATATATGATTATTCGAAGAAATTGCTTGAACGATTTTTCTTTACTGACTGCGAATACGAATGGCGGAGCATCTGCAGAATATACCTATATAATCTATCTGAATATGTACAAAATCACAAGTATAACGGTAAATTGGACAATTAATATATATCAAAATGTGTATGTATATCTACATATATATATATATATATATATATATATATATATATATATATATATATATATATATATATATATATATATATACACATATATATACTATATATATATAAATGAAACGTTATATAATACAATTCTTACATTACGGCTTAATCTACTGTATTTGATCTCAAGCAGTTAACTGATCTCATACAAAAGGTATTTCTTCATAATCGCAGGCAGGTCAAGTTCGTCGATTCTAACAGGCATTTTATCACCCAGTTCCTGCCTAAGGAGGATTCTGGCTAGGTGCTTGAGGG